ATGCATTCAAGGGTCACAAGATTTTATCCCTGGAGGAAGTCAAAAGAGTTGGCTCAAAGGCCCTTGTAAAGCCAGCATTCTGTGAAAAACATAGTGGAGAACTACTCAAGCTCTTTTGTCAAACTTGCCAGAAAACAATCTGCCGAGACTGCACTATTGTTGATCACCGAGAACACATGTATAACTTTGTGGCTGACATTGCTGAACAGGAAAGAAGTTCTGTGCATGGAATTCTTGAGAAATGCAAACCTAAAGAAAAGGTTGTTGCTGAAAGTTTACAAGTGGTGAAGACCATGAGAATCCGTGTTCTGAGTAGGTGCTCGGAGGCAGGCAAACAGGTGGATTCTTTTTTTGACAAGCAAGTGGAGGCATTGGAGCATCACCGTGCAAACCTAAAGAATGAAGCTGGACGACAAGGTCAAGAAAGAGTAAAAAAACTGGACAGTCAGGCAGAAGGGCTGTCCCTACTTTTGGCCCAATTGAGAAACAGTGTTAGTTTTACCAGCCAGGCCATAGCAGATGGAGATGACGTAAAGCTCTTGTCCATGAAGACACAACTTGTCCAGCGACTTTCGCAGCTTAATTCTTCACAAGACCAGTTGAAACCCTGTCAGAATGATTACTTCAGACTCCAAGAGCACAAATCTATTTGGGATGTGGGAAAAATAGCGTCCTTAAGTTACCATCCATGTGACCCTCAGAAGTGCACCGTCAGCATGGCAGGGGGGGAAGAAGGGGTTATGTATCAAACCATGAAAAGACAACCTGTGGATTTCACAGTTATTATCAAAGATGAAAGAAACATTAAAGTGACAGGAGGTGGACATGGAGTGATAGTCTGTGTTGATTTTGAGGCGAGGCTGACACCAAAAAGGAGAAAAAACACATTCACAACTAGCCAGGTATCACCTATTGTGTTTCTTAAAGATGACGGTTCATACAGCTTCTCATATTGTCCAAAGAATGCTGGAAACGCCGTTCTGTCTGTGAAAGTTGGAGGTAAACACATTAATGGAAGTCCCTTTCAGTGGAGTGTAACTGAATTAATCCATGCTTTTTCAGAAGGAATGCATTGCTGGAAACTTCAGCTTGACTTGGATGGCGAAGAAACTACAGTAGAAATAGGGGTTAAGAATGATTTTTTTGGCTCAAGTCAGCCATTACCGGTACATGTGTGGAGTCATCAAAGGGGAGATCAAAAATGGTCATTAATCTTAAAGGGATCCAGATTGAATACCTCTCGATCAGATGGTCGTAAAGCATCCATAGGGGATGTGCAAGGCAAAGATATTTTCACAGTTTTTTTAAATCTTGAAAGCAAGAAACTAATCATTTACAATATTCGTAGTAAAGAAGCTGATGTCTTCACAGGTGTGGAAGGGAGACAACTGGCTTACGTCTGTCCACCTAATAAACAAAATTGTGTATTTTTTTATTTTGAGGATTAATTTTAATTTCGTGGAATACCTTCTTCATGAAAATCTCTCATTTTTCAGATTTGGTGTTTGAGTATGATTTTTGTTGTTTAACAAGTGGCAGCAACATTCAAGGCATTTTTCTGGTATATATCCTGCAAAACTGGTCTATTGTAAGAGGTGCATACGGAATTATCCAGAATTTTTAGTCTTTGTTTTTGCTTACAGGAGGCGAATACCCTTAAAATATGAAGACATAGTTGGTTTTGTCCGATCACAAATTAATCATGTGGCAGAACAATTATACTGAAGAACTCCAAATTATATTTGCAATGGAATTACTGTTATCTTTAGTTTGATTGTCTCTCTGAGAAAAAGTTTGCTGCTTTCCGCAAAATGAGCAAGTTGCTAAAAGGGAGATGTTGAATAGCTTGGTAGTGGCATAAAATGCTAATACTGTGATAACACAGTCTGTGGTTGAAATTGAGATTTTTAAATTGTATGACTTGATGGTTTTATAAGAAGTGATATTGTATTTTCCTTTTTAAAAGTAAATCTGAACTATTAGTTTTGTTCACATATAAAAAGGAGTATTCCTGTGGATTGGTCACAAAAAAGAATTGCCTTGGGTGACATTCCTACAGTATGGAAAACACTTTTCACCTGACCATGTCCTCAAGAAGTCCTCAAAGGCCAAGTGTTTGTTTAGTTCATTATCACTGCACATTTTCTAAAGCGCGAGAAAATGCAATGATTGAACTTTTCGCGAGTTAAGTTTATTTAATTTTCTTTGACATCTATTCACTCATTCTCTGAGACTTATAATTTGCCTTATAACACTTATACACAAACAAACTGTTTTGTTGAATTAAAAAGTTGTAGCCATCCTTCTAAAAATGGTACTAATGTAGCAACTAACTTCAATCAGTGAATATCAATAAGCTTTAATAGCTCTACATTGCTCTGGGTCTGCTGATAATAATTTCAAAAAGGAGAAGTTGGAACATTTGCATCTCTTTAAACATAGTCAATGTATATTATATTATTCTCATTCTTGTTTCCAAATAAAGTTTAGTCGTCAATTGTTGTAATTTGTTGTGCTAAATATGGGTTTGTTCTGTTTTCCATGTGAGATCAATCTTGCAGCTGACATCTCTTCACTTTAACCATAACTTTTGAAGGGAATCAAAAGTATATAATCAAGGCCAGCCACGTCTTTGGGTAACCTACCCAAAGTAAAAGAATGTAGAGGAAATGCCTACAAAGGCCAGGGTAGCATTGAATTATAGTGAAGGTTTCCTTATTGTGCAGTTCATGCACATACATACACACTTACATAAAAGGCTACCCTGTAAAAACTAATGTGCAAAATGATCAGACTATTTTATCTCAATACACTCTGATTAATAAACGGCAAAAATGTGGCCAATGTGCTGAAAAATATGCCAGGTGCTAGAAACTATGCTTGATGAGGAGTTGAAAGAGTAAGCCATACAAAAGCATTATAAACAGAAGCAAAAGGGAAATGGTGATTTGTTTATAATGGAAATCTTAACAGTATTCCTGTGCAAGTTTTTCTTACTACATCCCTCCATTACTGGTAACCCTAAAACTCAATAGATGACAAGTGTTCAATGAAATAAGCAAATAATTCAATCAATATTAATATTTAAATTGTTCCACTTCACCAGATGTTCAGAAATGATTATCTTGGAAAAATGATTTAACTTTGGTTCAGATTTATTTCCTCTGATCGTATTTTTGGGAGCACATTCAAATACATTTCATCACTTATAGGTTCAACATGAAGAAAGATTTGCATCATGAACACATTTAATTGAATGTATTTATAAATAGTTACTTACTTTGCCAACAATCAGTAACTAGTGCAACTGTAATTGATATTTTTATTTAACAAGGCTTTTAAAAAAAGCTTTAAGAGTTGCCTGATAGAAGGCAGACCACCTGCCTAATCTAGGGGTAAAACAAGTGGAGAAATACAGATTTGCAGCAAACATGGCCATGTAACCATGCAAAGCACACAAGTGCACTGCCACATTATCTATCACAGTCTCTGAAACTCACAAAACCACAAACACTTTGATTTGATTCTCGCACAACATTTGTGTACAGTGCAACAAAAAAATTCAGGAGTGAGCAAACTGCCTATTACTGCTGTTTAGTTATCTCTGCCTAATGGCTTTTTCCTTGAAATGCAGGGACAAAACATAAGTATATGTATTTCTGAAAATCACGGTGTCTGTCACAGTAACAGAGTAGAAAAATATTTTTGTTTTCTGAGACTTACAAAAACAATACTTTGTACAAGTTTTTCAGAATTAGGATTTTTTTCCGAAGATGAAAGGCTGCACAAATATGAGTCCAAAGTAATGTGTAATAAGTAAACACAATTAATAGTAAATTACTATTATTATAAACAGACTATAGATATTCTTCGAAGCCATGGTTTACCACAGTTTCGCTAGGGAAAGCGTTGCATAACGGCCCAAAGGCAAAGCATGACAAAGGGAAAGGATTTGAACTTCCAGCAAAATAAGAACAAGGGTAAACCGTCTGGAAGAGTACTGCTCGAAGAAACCTATACACAATTAGTAAAGATAGCCTTTCAAGGGATATTTTCATGCTGCTACAAAAGATTAACCAAGAAAATATGTGCTTAGCGTTGTATTATGAACTTCTGCTTCACCAGTAAGCCGTTTTTGAAGCTCTAGCTCTCCCTCACTTCTTCACGAGCCGCGTTAAAACGTTTTCCTCATAGTGGACGGCCTCTTCCTTACTTGCAAGTGGCTCTAGTTCTTCGTTTTACGGAGCACGATACATCTAATATTTATCCTCAAAACTACAAAAGTCATCCATGGACCCCTCATCGGAAGAAACACAACTATTAGTATCGTTTAAATTGAAGAACGACGACATTTCTCGGGCAAGATCACAACTAAATTCTTTTACAATTACCCCGACAGAGCTTCAACGAAAATGATAGGAAGTCACAATGGGGAAAGACGCTGAAAAATATCGTTGGCTCATTAATTGTCCTTCGAGTAATAGGCCATTGCAGAAACGTGAGAGGACTGGGAAAGAGTGTAGTTGTTTTCCGTTTGTTTGAAAAGCTATGTATAAAGATATTAAAATGAAAGATCAACTAAATGTGAGAGTCTTAAGCAAGAATAGAAGTATTTAGAGGAGGAAAATGGCAAAATGACAGCTTTTCAAATATCACTTAAAATAGAAAGTTTGTATGGATTGGGTAGACAGGGCAAAAAATTTTAAGGGTTTGTATGGAATTTTTGCAACTTTTGCAAGACTCCAATTTGGACACTTTTCCGCTGAAAACTCTCAAACTTGGCTGGGTAGCTTTTCATTCAGTAACATTTCAGTTGAAATGTTTAGATTTTCAATGTAATNACACAGTAATCTCGTGCGCGGGAAATTAACGTCTCCTACCTCAACCCTGCAGGAGACGGGACCTCCATTTATTCGTCCTTATCCGAGAAGACTAGAATATTTAAACCATTTCTTGATGTTATAGAAAGGCAGCATATTCTTCTCAAATATTTTAAGACCTTGAGTGTTGGTCCGGCCGGGGCTCGAACCCTCGACTTCCCGCACATCAGTTCAGCGCTCTATCCATTGAGCTAACCGGGAGGCGGTTAAATTCGAGTTCTTCGTACAAAAACTATTCGAGTTCTTCGTACAACAACTATTCGAGTCCTTCGTACAACAACTATTCGAGTTCTTCGTACAACAAGGGAACCTGTTATTTTTTCTTTGTCCCATGCTCGTAGCGAAACGGATAAAGTATTTTTTTGGAATTCAGGTGGCTTTTGAAAGAGATAAGTTTTATTTCAATAAAAGAACTGTAGCAAAATTGCTGAAGAGCAGACCATTGCCAAGCTGCAAAATCAGTTGATGAAGTTTTGTATGAAAGAAAAGGATACTGACGTTCACCAGAAAACAGGAAAAATGAGCTTTTTGCGCCCGCACAAATAAGTGATGGCGGACGACAAATGTCAAAACTTCTTCGAGGTGTAAATACTACCTTCGATTGCCTTTTCCATGGCAAAATATCCCGATACGAACCTCAGTTCACTATACTGAAATAAATTATCATTTGGAAAAGGCCCAAAGTGCGTAGCGATGATCAACAGTCTCGAGTTCGGAATGCCTTGAAATCAGTGAAGCAGAGACGCGCTGTTGATCGAGCCTTTGAGCTTGCTATTTACAAAGGTAAGTTTCTTTTATTTATTGCGACCGCATTCAAGTATGCTCTATTACTCTGTTATAGCTTTTGCAGAACGGAAATGTTCTTTCTCAGCGGCCGGACCGATACTCATGGTCTTAAAATAAGTGAGGAGAATTTGGTACCTTTCTATAATCAAGAAATGGATAGATATTCTCGTCTTCTCGGATAAGGACGAATAAACCGTAGGCCCCGTCTCCTGCAGGCCGGTTAGGGGTAGGAGACGTAAGTTTCCCACGCACGAGATTACTGTGTTGTGGATGTCCTCCCCTGGGGTGGGATGTGTAGGAATTGGCCCTGAAAAGCCCCCATAGGGAGTGGTCAACTAACGTATGTATGTATGTATGTATGTATGTATGTATGTATGTAGAGTATTCAAACGAACAAACTATACTATTGTGTTCAATATCGTATTCAAGTAAGCTTATTGGTATCCTTCTTTTCCAACTTTTGTTTCGTAATCTCAAAACTTGAGTTTACTCAGTGGGTTTCGTACTGTGAAAAGTGATGTAAATCTCGAAACTGGGCCTTTCATTTGCTACTCTCTTGTTTGAACGAATCTAGCCTCAGAGAGAGGCCGAACGCAAAGCGAGCCGTACATTAACATGTAAAAGAGCCTCGACTATGCTCGTTTTTGTTGCAAAGCAAGAAGATGTCGGCCAGATTACGAAATATGTGCAAGGGGAAACACATGACTTAGGCGAATATTTCTCCTTCTTGGGATGAATGGAGTACGTTTAATTACGTCAAATTCCTCAAAGTGTCGTAGTTGAAATTCCATAGCTTACCATAGCTTACCATAGCTCACCATAGCTCACCATAGCTCACCATAGCTTACCATAGCTCACCATAGCTCACCATAGCTCACCATAGCTTACCATAGCTTACCATAGCTCACCATAGCTCACCATAGCTCACCATGGCTCACCATGGCTCACCATGGCTCACCATGGCTCACCATGGCTCACCATGGCTCACCATAGCTCACCATAGCTTACCATAGCTTACCATAGCTCACCGTATATTGGTTGTGTATTGCTCGGCTGCACAGTAGAAATGTACGCCAGAAATGTTGGGGGATATCAGGGAGCCTTGTGTACTACAATAGCACGAAAATATATGAAAAAAACAACGCATCAAAAAGTTGATGAAACACCGACACTTTGCATGATTTACGCACACAACTGGACAATTCACAAAGACACGACATTCTTGCATGTATTGTGAATAAGGTTGATTTACTGCTTGTCGTCTCGGTCTAATGTTCCACCGCTTGCACATCGTATATTTATCTCTCAATATTTTTATAGTTTCAAGTCCTCAGTGGGAAGTTTGCAACCTCCCTTTTCAAATCGTCTCTTGCTAACTAAGGAATATTTGACTGTTGCACAACCTAAATTTGGCTCAGATGAGGGTGACAAGGATGATCGATTAAGCAGGGTCCACTGAACAAGAAACCAAAACAGCAAACAAATCGTTTCGCGGTACATCGAAAGGTTTAAAACACAAACAAGCATTTAGCAGGATTTAAGATCACCACTTTCACAATATACTGCACTTTGGTTTATATTCATGGTGATACCGCTTAAATAAAACAGTGTTGCTTGCTCCTTTATAGCCTGAGGAATTAAGTGTTATGACTGTCGTTATAGTTCAGCGCGTTTTAATTAAGTATTTTAGATGAAAAGGAACAAATAAAGATGCAAGTGAACAATTTCAAAATAGAGTAGTTTTGGGTTGTATAATTGAGGGGGGGGAGGGTAGGTTGGGGAAGGACTATATGGTACTTATCACTATTAATCAGACTTCAGAGGCAATTCCTTC